ATTGTAGTAATAAGGCCTTTTTCTGATGTGTCATTGCTAAAGATGTTTTCCCAGTCCGTGGACTTTCTTATTACTCTCTTGATGAATTCTTTTGATGTATGCAGGTGTTTTATCTTCATTATATCCCATTTCTCAATTTGTGCCTCCTCTGTGTTTATGTTCTTCCCTATTTCTGATAGCCTATGTATTCCCTGTGCCAAGGTTCTCAAGTCGGTCCCAATTCCCTCATTGATAGCCCAAATAGTTTGGGGTCTTACTTCAAGGTTTGTGATCCACCTTGAGTTTATTCTTGTGCATGGAGTGAGATAAGGGTCTTGCTTCATTTTTCTGCAGGTAGATATCCATTTTTTCCAGCACCACTTGTTGAAGAAGGAAGGCATCGGCTTCCCATTGGATGTTTTTTGGGGCCCTTATCAAAGAGCAGTTGTATGTATGCTGATGATTTTATTTCTGGGTTTTCAGTTCTTTTCCATTGGTCTGAGTATCTGTCATTATACCAATACCATGTGGTTTTGACAACTGTGGCAGTATAATATGTGCCAAAATCAGGTAAAGCAAGCCCTCCCATTGTGTCCTTCTTCTTGAGGAGTTCTCTGCTAATTCTGGGCTTCTTCCCGCTCCATATGAAGTTAGTAATCAGTATTTCCATTACTTTGAAGAAAGATGAGGGTAATTGTATCGGGATTGGATTAAACTTATATAGTGCCCTGGGCATAACTGATATCTTTACTATATTGAGCCTTCCAGTCCACGAGCATGGGATATTCTTCCATTTGTTCAGGTCACACTTGGTTTCTTGTAATAGTGTTCTGTAGTTTTCCTCATATAGATCTTTTATTCTTTTAGTCAGGTATATCCTAGATATTTCAATTTGTGTTTAGCTATTGTGAAAGGTGCCACCTTTTTTATCTCCTCTTCGTGGTCTTATCCGATGTGTATAGCAGTCTGATGGACTTCTGTTTGTTGATCTTGTATCCTACTACTCTGCCAAACTCCTCTTTTGCTTCCAGTACTGCCCTTGTGGAGCTTTTGGGATTTTCCATATAAAAAAAAATCATATCATCTGCAAATAACGATAGTTTCACCTCTGCCTTCCCCAGATGAATACCTTTGATGTCTTTTCTTTGTCTTATGCTGTTAGCTAAAACCTGAGACAGAAACTCTTTTTTATTTTTTAATCATTTTATTAGGGCTCATACAACTCTTATCACAATCCATACATACATCAATTGTGTGAAGCACATTTGTGCATTCATTGCCCTCATCATTCTCAAAACATTTCCTCTCCACTTAAGCCCCCGGCATTAGGTCCTCATTTTTCCCCTCCCTCCCCGCTCCCCCTCCC